TGCTCTGGAATTGAGGCTCAAGGTCTCTCTTCCATCCGAATCTGACAAGATGCTAGTGAGATGTTGCAGCGTCGCAACCAAGGAGTCAAAAAAAGGCATTGCCCCAGGGCATTTCTGGCTTGCGGTGTGAAGTCAAGTCCGCCGTGTCGCCAGTGGCAAGTCCGTGCGCTGCACCATCCCGGCTTGAACTGCTGCAGTGTTTAAGTATTGGCGGCCTTCCCTCACCAGCCAAGTATGGCGCGAGCAGGCAGGACGAGCCAAGCCCTTAGCTTCGCTCCATGATCGCTAGCAGCACTCAGCATCGCGTGAGGATGCCAGTACTAGATCCCCAAACACAACGACGATGGCGACCACGACGACCACACCAGGACGACCAGTAATCGCGTGACCGGGACGATCAGGAGACCACCCAGAAACCACCAGGAGACCAGAAACAGACCACAGGAAGAGCACAAGAAGACCACAAGGACATCACAAGGACACCACAAGGACACCACCAGAGCACCACCAGGGCCGCTACACCCAACGATCCTTTCTACCATGCAGTGGCAGATTTGGAAGCGCGGTACTGTCCCCCCATGTGCCGGCGGGATTCTTTGCCACGGCGAAAATGCTTCTCCCCATGAGCGCAAAGTATGCACGGCACCACAGTGGGAGCCGAGCCCCGGGGAACCTTCCACACTGTTTGGGGATAAAGCCTGATTCTACCGAAGCTTTCTTGCATCAATGTGATCGCCAGGTATACTTTAGAAGGGACGCACGCTAGCGACCAGCCTCACTGCACCCGAGCCAGCTCGTGCAAGTAGGTGCGCATTCCAGCGGTTCTAGGCATTGTTTGGGGGTTGTAGGGCTCAGTGTTTGGGAAGAATGTCGCCAAAACGACCAGACGGCTGAGGTGCCGTGCTGGGTCTGGGAGCAGTCCGGGCCCCGGCAGACGTCTTCCCATGTGAGTTTTTGGCAAGGCGCTGCTAAAGAGCAATCGCTTGAATCGGCGTGTGAGCTGAAGAACCCCACGTGGGTCGGCAGTGTGGTTATCGGTGCCGCGTTTCACTGCGTCGAGCTCCGGCATCCACTTCTGATCGTTTTGATAGGAAAAGCCCAAAGTAGCCACCAAGGCTCCCGAAACGAGAGCACGGACTCATGGACCGCTGTATCCCAGAGCATCGCTAGAAGTTGCAGCTCTTCGGGTCATGCTGGGCCGGTGATCAAGACTCGTCTGACCGGATGTTGTTAGACCCAAACTCGTACGGGAAGCATCGCCCGCACGTCGAAGGCGGCACTGGCTCCCGGCTTCCAGCGGCCGAGGTGTGTGGCCGTTCACGGGCAGTCTCCGGAAGGTCGAGTAGGCTCGGTGTGTTTGGATGGATTCGACCGGCAGAAGAGAAAGTTGTGTTCAGGTCGTGTTCCCTTTGCGCGCGCGCGTGCGTGATATTCCTTCTACTCCGCCTTCCCAGAACTCGTGAAGCCGTGCTGGAAGTCTTCGGACGGAAGTGCGAAGTAGAGCCGTCGTAAGCTGTCCGGTGAGTCTTGACGTCCGACTGGTCCGCAAGATTGGAAGTTCAAGGTTCAGGGGCTGCTGTAGAGTCACAAAGGATGATCCCGAGCATGCTGCGGCTATGGCGGCTATGGCGGCTATGGCTGCTCCTTGTGGGGGGACTTGGTCAGGGTGTCGAGAGCAATCTGACCTGGCAGCTGGTGGCTTCAGGGCACAGCTCCACGAGCCAAACCGCTGCCGCCACGTACTCGGAGCGGGAGATGGTGATCTACGGCGGTCAGAGCCAGCTGTGGCGCTTGGACCTCGAGGCCGGAGCCTGGCAGACCATCGCGGCAACGGGCAGCGCCCCCAGCGGCTCCCGGTCCTACATGGCAGGGAGCCGGACGAACGGAGAGCTCATCTACTTTGGGGGCAGCAACGATGCCAGCGTCTTCCGGCTCAAAGCTTCGATGAGTTGGGTGCAAGTGGCCCTCACGGGCCCAAGCCCCACCAACCGGCACCGCCACACTGCCGTGAGGCTCTCGGACGGCAGCCTCCTGATCTATGCGGGCTTCACCTTCAACAGGCAGCCGCTGGGAGATGTCTGGAAGTTGATCTTTACTTCGGAGGCGGAGGGCTTTTGGCAGGAGGTGCAGACGACCGGCGGGGGTCCGGGGCCACGTTTGGGGCCTGCGGGAATTGCGGGGGCTGATGGCAACTTCCTGACCTTCGCAGGCCACGAGGCCACTTGGATAAACAGAACAGTCTCAATAACTGAAGCACGACTTTTCGGGTTTGCAGTGACGCACCTACACCTGCCACCATCTGCCACAGCCATCCCAGGACTGGGGCGAATACTTCGATGACGTTTGGCGGTTGACGATCAATGGAACAACCGGAGTCTGGCAGCTGGTAGTGGTCTCTGGCCCGACGCCCGGCGTCAGGAGATTCCCTTCCGCCGTGGCGGTCCCGGATGGCATGCTGATCTACGGGGGCTTCAACGACCAGCGCGGCCATCCGCTGAAGCAGACGGCCTACAATGACGTTTGGCACATGGGCATCAACGGGAACACCGGCGTCTGGCAGAAACTGGAGCCTGCTGGGTCGAAGCCCGGTGCTGGGGGGGCCTCCCAGGCGGCAGTCCTCTGTGGCGTGGGGCTGATAGTGACCATCGGCAGCAGCACCCACAAGCTGAACTGGCCAACCGGGTGCCCTCCGGGCTATGCCTGGCAGGCCGGTCACTGCCTGCAGTGCTGCGATGGCTTTGAGAGTTTGGGGGGCTGCGACCTTTGCCAAGCCGCGGCAGAGGCAGAGCCATCGATGGAGTCTGTCTTGGCGAACCTCTCCACTCCTCTCCTCGAGATCTCCTTCTTGGACGAGGAGGTCCGCCTGAAGCTTCAGCTCCCCCAGGTCCCCCAGGTCCCTTCGGCCGGGAACCTGACCTGGAACTTCCACCTCGCTGCCTCCAACCTCAAGGAGGAGCTCCAAGTGTTTGGCTCACCGTGCCTCAGCTGGGAGACTGTGGAGTCCGAAGGCTCAAATCTCACCTACCAGGCCTCAGCGCCTTTCCCGGAGCTCATGGCCTGTCTCAATGCCACGAGGAATTCCACGAACGCGACCGCCACGCACAGCACAACAACCGCCACGCCGGTGCCCGCTGATCTCAACATTCTGGTCCGAGATGCGTTCCTGGCCGTGTACCTGCTGGGATCCGACTCCGAGGCCGTCCTCGCAGACTGGGTCATCCCGGTGACACTCCAGGCGTGCCCGACCGGCTACAAGTCCGTGGGCGTGAGCTGCCTCCCAAGCTTGGCCTTCGCTCTGACACGGCTTCCGAGCCCGACCTTCCAGACTTCCGCTTCGAACATGCTCCGATTGATCTTTGATGAAGACCTCCCGGCGGTCGCAGAGAACATCTCCCTCAGCTATCGCGCGCGTCTTGGTTCGGATGAGGGCCAAACGGATTGCAAGGCTTGGAACCAGACCGGGCAAGGTCGCTTCGTCCTGGAGCTGAGCGTCGCAGAGCTCGACGACTGCAAGTTGAACGTGTCGACCACAGCAGACTACGTGGCTTGGAGTGGAGTGGCCACTCTGGCCCTTCTGGGGGACTTCTATGACAAGCCGGTCGCCTTGTGGATCTTCCCAGTGACCTTCCGCTTCGACCGCCTGATACATGCCTTCTCCTCCCTCGAAGTAGAACGCCACCGGGAGGTGGTGGCGGAGGAGGAGGTGATCTACGCCGGAGCCCTGAACACTACGCTGGCCCTGTACGAGTCCGACTTCACTGCCCCGAAGCAGCAGGCCGTTTACTTTGTCTGGGAGCGGGCCTTCGTGGAGCTTGGGCTGGGCGCAGTGTCCGTGGTTGCGAACGTGGACCTGGTGTGGCTCGCGGCATCCAGCGATGCCTCAGCGCCGATGGTCACCACCTCAGACCTCACCGCAGCTTGGGAGTTCTCGCGCACAGAAGCTACACAGACGAGACTCTGAGGAAACTTGCTCCGCTTCTAAGGTCCACAACCTCACGGGCTCCATGATCTACCTTCCGTCTTCGCCGTCGAGCCGGCGCTTCAGTGTGCAGCTGGAGGCAAGGGGACATGAGCAAGGATACAGAGATCATGCTGATTACATGGTGATCACCCCGTGTGATCAGTGCCAGGTCTGCGAGACGTGCTTCCTGCACGTCTTGGCGACCATCGACTCCATCGCCGGCCGCCGGCTGAACGAGAGGCGGCTGAAGGTGCCCCAGAGGCTCTTCGAAAGCGTGCCGATCGCGGTGAAGGCCGCCCGCCCCCCCCCCCCCTGCCGCCCCAGTGTCAAGTGCTTGCGAAGTCAGAAAAATCACTAGCGGGTGGCAGAGACAAGCAGCCAGTGAAGGTGCCGAGCTCCACGAGTTCCACGAGCTCCAGGCCCTCGACCAGCTCATCCAGCCCTGCAGGATTCTCGGGGTCCTTCGAGCTCACCGTGGCGGATCCTCAAGCCTTCGTGGAGGCGCCTCAGGCAGGGGGCCCCACACCAACAAGACTTCAAGGTCCGTGCTGGATTTGGTTTTCAGGGATTGGGCTGACGGTTGTTCTTTAAGTTTTGAGCTTGTGATTATTGATGGTTGTAGGAAACATAGAAAATCTGAGCGAAGTTGCCACTCATCTTTTGTATCGTCTTTCTTTCCAGGTCCGGTGGTCGCTGGCGCAGGCCTTGGGAATTCTTTGGGGCCAGGAACTCGAGGTGCACCTGGCGATCTTGGACCGCCCCGCTGACCCAGGCGGGTCCACTCTTCGTGGCTTGGTCTTGCTCTCCCCCTTTCACCCTCTCCCCACCTTTTTTTGTTTGTTGTTCGCAGTTCCAGTCCAGTGCTTCTCCAGGCGCTCGCCGTCTTGCCGGGCTGGTCCAGTAGCCGTTCGCTTCCACGCGCCCTCGGCCTCGTCGCAACAGTTGGAAGAGCTGGAGGCAGAGGTGAGCGCCCAACTCGAAGAGCCTGGCTTCCCGGCAGACCATGTTTTTTCTCCAGAGCTGGGGCCCTTAGGGTTCAGGATTTTCGGTTGGGTTCAGGGTTCAGGGTTCAGAGTTAGAGGCCCCTCTTTCCGGATAAGTGATGCGCTGCCTTCGCTCTCCCAGGCTTCGCATCGGACCTCGTGGAGCGGATGAACCATGCGCTCCAGGAGCTTCCCAACGCGTCCCAGTACCAGATCATGTCCATTCGAAACCTTGAGGCGGAAGTTACTCTCAGTCTCCCCTCGACCTCTTCAGTGACTTCCGAGTCCGAGCGCGCTTCGGAGCCCGAGCCCAGCCCTTCGGGCGTGGTTTCCACGGACCTGGTTTTCGGTGCTGTCGGTGCCTGTATCTTCTTCTTCATTGTGGGCATGTGCTGCATGCGCGCCTGCTCAAGGCACCGACACAAATTAATTGAAACGGAATAAGGAAAAACAATAAAGGAAAAGGAAGAGACAACTAATTTATAACTAACGAAATGAACTAATTTATAATGAAGAAAAGGTAAGGTAATGAAGCACTGAATGGACGCACGCTTTTCACATTAAAAATTAGGTCATTTCCTCTCTTGTTTGTTTCTTTCGTTTATTTCATGCTTTTGTTCTCTTCGTTCACAGAAAGTGCAGCCACAGCCACCTCCGCTTTGCATCTCGGTGCCTTCCGCTGCGGGCAAAGCTCAAGAGCTGCCCATCCCTCCAGCGCCAGCAGGCCCTCCGGAGCTCTCGCGAACGGCGGGTCAGTCCGAAGTCTGAACCTTAGACTACCCATCGAATACAAATGTCTTCTCGGTGGCGTTTGGTCATCGGCGACTTTGTTTTTACGCAATTTTGTCGCCCTGGCATCCCCTGGGACCGCATGCCAAGTGTGCGGCTCACTGGGCTGCCCGGGCACGAGTCCTTGGCCGTCAAAGACGGAGCTTGAAACTCAAACCTGTCCAGACTACACCTTTCCCCACTTATGGATCGAAAGAGAACCTCGGGCTGGGGGTTGTCACAGTGGGGCTCGAGATCCGAGGTTGCTAACTATGCTACATTGCTACGATTTACAGCACCACACTCTAATGCATTGTATTCTCTTGTGCTGTAGTCTTCTTCTTCTTCATACTGTTGTTTTGGTTGTGGCGTTTACGGTATGCTGTATTTCGGGTGGATCCTCAGCAGTAGCTTCTCAAGACCTCTTAGACCCCGAGGTCCCAGACGTTTATGCTTTAGGGTGGTTCGGACCGGTCAGGGCGGAGTCTGGGTAGACTCCGAGAAAGGAAATGACACCCCAGTCTCATAGACGGCGTACAGTGCACTGTTAATGTGGTAGAGCATTCCCTGCCTTGGGACCAACAGCAAACAGCACGTTTCAACCCGGGGAGGTGAGGACCACCTGCGTCCGGAGCCCGCATGGCACATCGAGCTGACAAGCCGCAGGCGTCGAGGCCTGGACCTGAGTTCCTTCTTAGGGCTATCGGGGACATCAGGCTTCGGGTGATATGTCCAGGCTTAATCTTGGTATTCGTCTTGCAACCGTACACATCAGACGTGCCCTCTCGCATCGCAGGCATCGCAGGCCCATGAGAAGATGGTGAAAAGCCTTGGCACGGTCACTCTCGTGCTCTGCCTGCTGCAACGGGTGCAGTAGGAATGGCCCTGCGGTGATGTGCGCCCCGTGTACCA